TTTGTCATGCAGTGTGTCAAGGTCGCAAGAAAAGTGTAATCAGGAAGTTGTTTTTTTTATACTGCTACGTTGATGACTGCTACATTGATGTGTAAATATATAGGGAACATAATTTGGAAAACATTTTATATTCCATTCCTGATATAGGAAAACATTTTATATTCCATTCCTGATACTAGAAGTTTTGGTTTTAATAACTTTATCAGGGGAGGCAACCTTTTTTTGGCCCATAAGTTTCAAGCTTTCTATTAAATCTATTTGTTTGAATCTAATATTGAATTTGAATTATATAGCGTATTTAAGGTGACCATTATCTCCATTGGTTGTGGCAAAATATGTAGGTCGCAGCTTGACTGGGTAGTCACCTGAAATACTGTACTCCTCATTAAAGTTCAGACTTGAAGAAAAGCCTAATAACTATTATTGTTAATATTATTATAATGTGTATGCTTAAATCCACCTAAACAGGGATATAACTGGATATTGTATTACCAGATTGAATTATACAATACTATTCCATTGTAACATACTTAAAGGGTGGTCAGAATTCAGTTCTATTTGATTAGCTGCCCAGTAATATTATTATTGGCCTTGTTAGCCATGGTAAAATTATTTTGTTCTGTTAGGACATTTTGAGTTGAAGGGGGGGGGGAGAGGCTTATTCCTCTTTATTTTTTTTGGGGGGCTGACCGTTACATGCTTTGATGGTCTATTGTTTGCATTAACATCATATTAAGAATTTAACAAAGTGATGTTTTAATCTTGGTTGCAGAATTCTCAATAATTGCAATCAGTTCTATTGAAACATTGTGTGATTTCGATGTGGCAATATTTAAACCTTATTATTTGCTTATACTGGGGGCGCGGTGGCTGAGTGGTTAAGCGCTTGGCTTCCAAACCTGGGGTCCTGGTTCAAATCTCTGTGAAGACTGATTTTGAGTTCCAGGATTTTTAGGGCGCCCCTGAGTCCACCCAACTCTAATGGGTACCTGACTTTAGTTGGGGAAAGTAAAGGCAGTTGGTCGTTATGCTGGCCACCCGGCTCACTAACAGTTGGCCAAATAAACAGATGATCTTAACATCATCTGCCCTATAGATCACAAGATCTGGAAGGGGTACTTTTTTGCTTATACTGCAATTTGTGAATCAAAATACATATGTGATATACTTATTCACTTGCTCAGGAGCAAAGCAGGTCATGGCTGGGACTGTTAAACCTGATGTGGCTGTGTGGATTTCTCATGGTCAACATTGTCATTATATTTTATGTCTTTAGTGAGCAGGAAATGTGGAGATTGTAAGTTGGGAACATTTTCTTTACAAACTTAAAATCATTTCCCTTTTTTATTTACAATCATAACTTTGATATTTCCCACTTTTCTTAACAAACTTAAAATTGACCATTTCCCTTCTTCTTTAAAAGCTGAGAATTATTTTCTCTTCTCTTTGTTATTGATAAGTGAATTGTTAGACAATATACATTATTCAACAATATGTTTATCAATTTATTTACAATCAAATATGATACATTTTAATTTGTAATATTTACTTCTAAATAATGCGCTATAGTTACCTTTATTTTACTGTCAAAATTAACAATAGGTGTTAAAATAATTAATATAATCTCAACAAAGGTAGATTCAGCACCTATCCATTTCCTCCAGTGTATATGAGATCCACATATGTTTAGTTTGAAATGGGAAAATTATAGCCAGTATATATAACAAATGATGTTTACAGAATAGTTCAATGAAAGTCTGCATATTCTCTAGAAACCTCATTATAACTCTTCTCAAGCTCAGTCTAAATTATTTTGTTTATTAATTGGCTGTTGTATGTCTAGGTTATACTTCAGGATGGCTATAGTGGCAGACATATCAGTCTGGACGTTGCTGTGGTGTGTGGTACTAACAGACTACATTATCAAATTCCTGACAGTCATCACCAAGTCTATGCTCGCCATGTTCCAACCTTGTTGTAAAAACTATCGGCGAAGGGTCAGTACAGAATGACAAGTATTAATGTTTATTATTTGGCATGCTGTTTCAAATAAGAATCCATTGATTAGATCTTTCTGCTATATTTTTGTAATCTCTATGATTTCATAAATTAAAGGAGATGACACAAAAATAAAATCCAGCAAAAGATTTGCTTTTGTAATCAATATATTTGGGCTTTTCACTAGACTAGAGAGAGAGTTTTTTTTTCAGGGTTTTTCATTCCAACATTGAAGTTTCTCCAGAAGTACATTATAGCTGGATATATGTATTGCTTTTTCTTTAAAGAATTGTGGTTTTGATATGTTAATAGTAAATTGTACTCTGTATTTTTTTTTATTAAATATGATTTTATTTTTCATAATAATATAAAGTAAAAAACTTGATCAAATTTATGTACATCAAACAAATTTCATTTATTGACTTATGACTTGAATTTCAGGGTAAATACTATTTGTTGATAGAGAGTATATCTCAGCTGTACCGCCAGATAGTGACCATTGTTCCCTGGTGGTATTACCTGAGTGACAACACTAGGACTAGTGTCTGGTTTGCATTCATAACAGAAGCTGTCTACCTGGGATTCAAGGTCTGTGATGACAGTTTTGAGATAAATCATTCCAGAAATAAAAAAAACAAGATGACTGAATGTCTTTGTTTTTACATGTTTTGGATGTTTCTTCAGAATGGAAGATTATTACATCCTAGCCCAAAGCTTTCAGGGGATGGTGACAGGCAGGGTTAGAAACTGGAATAATCAAAATGACAGACAGCCATCCTTGAGAATAAGTGGCATTGCTCCTCCATGTCTTTTTTTTAAATATTAAACCCACAACTTTGTATTATGACATCTAATTTCTTTTTTTAAAATGAATATATATGTTAAAAAAATTAAAGTTCTAAAATCCTTATGAATAGATTTATGTTGAATGCCAATATCAGATTAACACCTCAGAGAGCCTTTCATTTGCATTTATGTAACAAATTTTCAACTCACTAGTTTCATGACTAGCTCAAATTGTTGTCTTGAGTCAGCTACGTTAATTCTCACTTCAATAGAGCTACTTTGGTTGTATGAAAGATTTGTTTATAAATCTAATTTTAGCATTCTTTTAATCATATTTTATTTTATAATTATCTTTTATTTCTAGAGTTGGTCAGTGTGGGGTGCAGTTCAGTTCTTGTACACAGCCTTCCAAAGATTCCAGTCTAACACAGTAAGTATAGGGGTTACAAGGCATTGCACCTGATGGCCCAGTTTATTGCCTGAGCACCATGGGAGCATTAGTCCTTCCTGCTCTGTTCCCAAGTTTCTCTCAGGTTCCATCTAATCCTATTAGATCTGATCCGGTTTTAGTTGAGCATAATGTAGGAACATATTTTGTTTTTTGTTTAAATTTTATTTTCCTTGTTTACGATGTTACTATGTTGCTATTTCTTTTCTTGAAATGTGATATGCATAATACAATCTGTGTGCGTCCTCAGTCGTTTGGTGTGAAGCCCAGTTCAAGTGATATGCTGGATAAAGGCAACCAGTGCCCTATTTGTCAAGATACAATCAATGATTCAATCATGTTACCTTGTAAGGTAAGTATTACTTCATTGTTTCTATGTGAAAATTTTCAAAAGACAGAAAATGTTCAGAAGACCAGAAGTAGCTGTTGGACCTGTTTTGAGTATGATTGAGGAAATGAAGAATGGAGACTTTGAGATATAAACATAACAGGCTGACAGACAAATGGAGGTTGTCAACTCTTTGTGTCGTATTATGTTTATAACATTCTCATTTCTATGTTCAAAAGTTTATGAGCATATTATGTCACTAGCACAAAATCATTTTGTCATTTGACATCATAAAAAAAAAAGTTCCTCTTTCAGACCTTGTGGTCTATATTATTATTATTATAGCTTTTATATAGCGCTACTTTCATGCTTATAGCATGCTCAGAGTGCTTTCGGTCCAATCTCATTTGTGGACCTATGGGGGGAGGGAGTATCTAGGAGTTGGTTTTCCGTGCTGCCTATAGGCGCTTACTAACACAACTCTGCCCGAACCTCGAGCCCCCTTCTAGGTAGCCAAGCCAAGTTCAAGTGCACTTAGCCTCTTGACCACGCTTCCCACAAGGGCAGATAGGGCAGATGATGTAAAGGTCACCTGATTCAGTGGCCTACGGTTAACGAGGGTGGCATGTGGCCAGCACATTGAAAAACCGCCATTACTTTTCCTCAACTAATGTCAGGTACCAATTAGAGCTGGGCGGAGTCAGAGGCGCCCAAGGATTCCAAAATAAAAATCCAAGGATTCGAACCCAGGACCCCCAGTTCAGAAACCAAGCACTTTACCGCTCAGCCACCGCACGACATCATGACTTGAGATAATGGCCTAATATTTAATGTAAAAAAATAATTTCAAACACTCTTTTTGGGGACGATTTTCAAATTCTTCCCCCTTCCCATCCCCCCACCATAGCTACGCCACTGCCTGACCAATACATTTTATTACTTCTATTCACTAGCATTAAGGACTTTTTTGTTTTAATTGCAGCATATCTTCTGTGAGCAATGCGTGTCTATCTGGTTTGATCGTGAAAAGACCTGTCCGATGTGTCGAGCCGAGATCACAACAGAATCTCCTGTGTGGAAAGATGGCAACACAAGCTCTCATCTGCAGTGGCACTGACCTGTATGCTCCCTTGGGTGACAGCGATTCTTTATTCTCAAAGTGTCTCCTAACCTCTCGTACTCAGCAACCCTGTGCCTCATTCAAGATCTCTTCTTGGTTCCAGTTCTCACTCTTTTCTTTGTTTTAATGTCACTGGCTCATGACTCCACGTTTTGTTATTCACTAGTTGGCTTATGTCTAACTAGGTTCTTGTGATTCACTATTTATTGGGCCCCAGTTCATTTAGACTTTGGTTTGTGAATCACTTGATAGTGTTGCGGTTCATTGCAACTTACTAATTTATTGACTCCCTTGTTTATTGTGACTCAGCAACTTCACACTCTGACTCTGTTTTGGGTGATTCCCCTCATTTGGGTAAATGCCCACCCTCAGGTCAATAGTTCCTAATAAATCAATGATTCATTTTGAGTTGCTGGTTCACATTGAAGAGTTAAAAGAACAAAAGAATTATTATTTAATTCTTTTAGTAAAAATACTCTGTTCAAGTGTTTCTGTGTTTTTCATTTTGAACTTATATGCTTTTGTTTTTTTTTTGTCTTTCTTTTGTTCTATCTTAGTGATTGTAACTATTTATACTATGTTACAAACATCTTATTTTTAGATTGATAGATCTTATTAATTCACTATATTTTTGACTGATGGGTTTCGGGTGTACATTTTCTATTAGTTATCTGAATGTTAAGGCTGTGACATTAAAGATTGTCTTCTGCTACAATGACAACTTTTCCTTCAAAATTGATCGTTTAATATTAGGCAATAATGTTGATTCATGTCTATATCTCTGTATAAGAGTCTATTGTATAGTGTATAGGCAGGATGCAGGACTTATTTACTTAGAGCTTTGATCATGTATCAGAGGTTTAATCCACGCTGGTGGCTGGTGACGCTGGCATGAGTAGATATTGTTGATATGTTGTACTGGCACTCTGTTGAATTGTTATTTATTTGTTATCCTTGACCTGTTTGTAACTACAAAAGTTTTATGACATGTGTGGAAAGCTTTTATTTTGTTGTACAGGGTGAAGGGAAGTTTTAAATTTTGTTATTCAGTTGTTCCCCTTTTCATTTTTCAACAAAGAATTTTAATGATTGTAGCCCTTTGATGATATGTATCAATATTTATTTTATTGGTTTCATAACATTTTTACTTATCATAGATTAGATTGTTTGTGGATCTCAACAAATTAATTACTTTCAGGTCATGATGACCTCTTATGACCACCATAACATGAATATAAGTATTTAGTATTTAATTTGGAATATTTATGTTTCTAATACTATCCCAATCTTAAATCAGTAGGTTAGCACACATTTTCACCAAACTTTGTGTGCTGTGTTGATTATCATAGCTGAATTACTTTGTTGACTATTGTACTAGAACTAATTTGTTGACTATTGTACTGGAGTTACTCTGTTGACTATTGTAGTGGAATTACTTTGTTGACTATTGTAGTGGAATTACTTTGTTGACTCTTGTAGTGGAATTACTTTGTTGACTCTTTTTGTGAAACTACTTTGTTGACTATTGCAGTAGAATTACTTTGTTACACTTCAACGCATGAGTAAACAACTAGGTCAATGGTGCCCAACCTTTGTTTATCCTGGAGGTCAAAGAAATTTCTGATTACTGCCAAAATTTACCGATTCCAATCCAATTCTCTGAGGCTTCATTGTGCACTGTGGACAGAAGTTTATTAGAGCTGAATAGAACAGCATCATGGGATGGATATGTCCCGCAGGCCATAGTTTTGGCATCACTGAATTACATTGTTACTCGTATGCAGTAAGTCAGTAGTTAATATCTCTAAATCCTTTTTACTTGACAGTCACTCTTTTATTGTCAACCAAGTAAATATGGTTCTACTGCAGATGTAGATGTAGATGCTCACTCCAAGAGCCACTAACCAAACATTTCTGACTCTTTATTTGAAAAAAAAACAAACAAAGAGCCACAATTGAAATCCAACTTTTCTAATCATGACAAGTCTCTGTATCTTTTGGGTCATTTGGACTGATCCTGCTTGATAAAAGCAAAGAACACATAAATTCAAAGTGAATGAAGATGTTTAGTTTATGGGGTGGAGACTTTTAGGGTAGGGTGTAAAGAGGTTAAGGATATAGGGTAAAGTGGTATAAATGTCAGTTGTGCCTATACTATTGTATGTAAAGCATATTTGTAACAATGTATTATAGTAATGTAAAGCACTGACTTTTATAGTTGTATAAATTTTTTAACAGTTAATAAAACTTTGAAAGCAATTTTTTTGAGTATTTTACCTAAAATGATAAGACTCAAAAATAAGTTTTTAATGTGCAAGCAGTGTAAAATTAGTTTAATTGTAGTTCATTTTGTAAGTCATTATATTGTTTTTGTGGTTAAAACATTTTGTGTGTTTATTTCCCTTGAGTTTTGATTTTTGCTTTTGTTTTGATGACTGAAGTTTTTTAAGGTGTCAATTTTTATGACTCAATGTAGTTGTATGACTCAAGAAGTCATGTTTTATGGTGTACCATGTAAATGCTGTAGGACTGAAGTTGTAAATGATGCAAGATTCTAGAGTTGCTGTAAAGTTGTACATGTGTGATGGTTTATATTCTCAACAGTAAACTTTAGGTCATATTACGTTGCCAGTGGCTGTTTCAGTTAGAATGTTTTAAAATTTAAGATGCATTACTGTATTGAATTCTGTGTGTTTTTACTTGCTGCCTAATCATTGTTATAGATTTTAGATCATAAATCAGATATAGAGTACAGGCCATTGACCAAACCTCTTCCTGTATTTATCAGTAGGAAGATGGTTTTTCTTTTAATTATGTAACTAATTTATAAACTTAAGTCAATAATCTCTTCATATTTCTAAATATCCTAACAAATTTTTGAGTATAGCTGTTGCATATAATAATAATCATATTCATAAGGCTTGTCTTCAAGTCCAAAGATTAGTGAGGAGAAGAGTATTTCATGTGGCTGTGTAGCCCCACCTGTGAACTACATACTTTGCCACACCCACACAAGCCAATACTTAGCAATACAGTATTTTATATAACTAGCTGCTGCATATACCTTTTAATAGACATAATTTAAATAGTTTGATGAAGTGTGAAAAACTTCCTCATTACATTTCTGTGGCAAACACTTGACAGTTTCATTATATCGTCCCCTTTAAGGTGTTTTTACTTCAGGATTAGTGTTCACAAAAAATATGCACAATAAATAGTTAATTTTTTTAAGGGAATGGAGAGATAACTTCTAGCGCACATCCTATTTAAACTGAAGCACTATACTTGTAAGATATGAATGTGTTGAGATGTGTGTACTGATGTGGATGTTAGTGATGTGAAGCACTAGACTTATTAGATATGAATGTGTTGAGATGTGTGTACTGATGTGGATGTTAGTGATGTGAAGCACTAGACTTATAAGATAATGTGTTGAGATGTGTGTACTGATGTAAATGTCAAGGCACTGACTTCTGCTACCTGGACTATTTAACCAAATGTGATAATTGCCTTCAATGAAGTCTTGTTGTGTTTCTTGTTCAACTCATGTATTGAAATAAAGGGGAAGCTATTCAGATCTTGTTGTGTTTCTTGTTCAACTCATGTATTGAAATAAAGGGGAAGCTATTCAGATCTTGTTGTGTTTCTTGTTCAACAATAATTAGACTTTTTTTTTTTTACTCCAAAGATTTAACAAGGAGTGTAGTATTTCAGGTGGCTAAGCAGACCCAGATGTGACCTACATATTTTGTCAAATCCAAAACAGACGTAATCGTTTTATGTGGTCGATTTAGATTTTCTTTTCGCTATCAACGTCTGTCTTTGGCAGTGGCTTTTCTTTTGGTCTTAAATGTGTTCCAGCTGCTTTTGTAAGAAACCTCCAGCCATCTCCTTCTGACTCTGCCTGCTGTCAGGTGCTCTCTTCGATGTAAGCTAATGCAAGTTGGTGCCGAAGCTGGTCTTTTGAGTGTTTTCGGTTAGGCACCTCTATTACGTTGACCACTTCTCATCTTGTTCAAATAAATAATTAAAATAAAGGGGAGGATATTCAGATCTTGTGTTTATCTTATATAATACAGACGTTACTTTAAAAAAAAAAGATGATTACGTCCTACGTGTCATGCATTCAGTCATGCATATTAACCAATGACCTAAATTCTGCCAAGTCACTGGTTTTCCTAGCTAGCTCAGGCAACCCATTCCATGTTCTAATAGCACTAGGGGAGAAGGAGTATCTGTACAAATTTGTCCTAGCATATGGGACGAGAAATGTGCCTTTATCTTTGTGTCTTTCAGAGTATTTTATTACATTTTGTTTTTGTATTTGAAGATTATGGTTCAGTGTTTTATGTATAATTGCTACTTTACTTTTGAGTCTTCTGTCCTGAAGGCTTTCTAAATTTAGTGATTCTACTATAGGTATTACTCTAGTTAAGTGTGAATATTCGTTTGTTATGAATCTCACTGCTCTATTTTGTGTCCTTTCCAGTTTGTTAATGTTTTCTTGAGTTGAGGGGTCCCAAACGGAGGATGCATATTCTATTATTAACCAAGGTTAAATAACATTTTAGTTTTATGTTCTTATTTGATTTATAGAAATTTCTTTTAATAAAACCTAATGCTTTGTTTGTTTTTTTGAAGGTAATGCTCAATGCTTAGATCCGTACTGATAATGACCACTGGGTTAATTGATAGGACTAATTAGTTTATCTACTGACCTTTATTTTTCATTTGAAAATTAATGGAATCATTTTAACTAATATTTCTTTTTTTATATTTGTATGTATTTACTGCAAAGCTAGTGGGTTTTTATAATCTCTAATGACATGTATACAGTGACAGAATTGTTCAGATCTTATTACCAGATTAATGTCAAAAAATTTGTTGCTCAAGTGGTAGATAGGGTTAGTGGGCTTTTGATTACACTATAATGCAACTGTTGGCTATTGGTTTACCTTAAACATGATTGTTAAAATGGAATAGGATGGGGAAATAGGTCATGATATTTTCAGAAGTTCAGTCTATTGACCCAATGTTTACCTGGGATCCTTTAGGTTAGGAAATATGAACTCTTACGAAATCAAATGTTTTTTTATTCCATGTAGAAATGATGAAAAGATTGAAGAAAAACTTTATATAAAGCCTTATTACTTTTTTATAGTAGTAAATAAAAAAAATTCACAGTAACAGGGGCTGAACTTGAAGCTTGAAACTTATTGACTAAACAGACTTGGAACTTAAAACTAGCTCGTCTCTTCTACATATGGTTTGTAAATTCGAATGTTCACATGTTTGAAATGAAATAAAAACTTGTATCTTATTGTGTCCCTTTACATATTTTCTCTTCTGTGTAAAAACTCGAAGCTTCAAAAATCATATGCGTAAATAAACTTTCTGCTTACATTTTGTTGTACTCAGGTCAAGACTTATATAGATGCGAGTCCGCATAGCTGCTCGGCTTTTCAGGCGCTCTTTAAAATACTGGATAACGTTTAGTCAACCTTTAAAACCTTTATTTACTGGGGAAAATGGTCGTCAAGTGTCTCTATTGTCACTCCTTCTGGCGTCTCTAAACATGGCGTATTTCCTGTCGAATTCTATCTACTCTTTTGGTCCCGAGATTAATACTCAAAATACACTAGAGATCATAATAACTTCTCTTTGGGACCTTGACGAGTGCACCAAGTATCACTATATAAAACATGAAGAATGATTGGAAAAATCTGAACTAATCATTCTAAGAAGATGTCCATTACTGTAAGAAATTTTAACTTCGGTTCATACTAATCAATCCATTGGGAAATGAGACTGACGCCCGTCTAGGAAGAATGAAAGATAGACGTTACTCTTTGAAGAAATAAAATGGAGACACCTGTTAGAATGTTGCTTCCGAATGGTAAACTAGTACAATGTAAGGCAGGTGTTAGTTCTTCAAGCCATCGCACCAGGCTGTAGCTCCCCTTAGGCAAGGGATTAAATCTCGCAGCTCATTACGTTTTTTTTAAATTTATCGTCAAGCTGGTTCTCTATAAACAAACAACAGACGCTCAGACATATTCGTCTCAGATAATGTGTATTACTTGACCGGCATCCATATCTCTCTTTTAATATACCGATTGCCTTTCCTATCTAAACACATTAAGAAGAAGCGGTTTCGTTTAAAGCGATTCAACATAGATCTACTTTGTTTCAAATCGCTATGCTGTCTTATTTGCATATATTCTCTTTTTACGACATTAAATGAGACAACGAATCTGTCGTCTGAGCGTTTTTTTTTCCCTATTTCATCGAATGTTGTAATCACTTATCTGTATGTATATTGATAAAACGTCCTAGCAAAGTAGACTCGAGTAGATGAAAACAGGAAGGTGGCGCCATAGGTACAAGTTTGAGAAACACTGTCCTAATATGTCCAATAAAATTTTTGAATTATTATATATTTTCATCTATGATGTATAACCATGAATTTGGTGTATCCGGTGGTAAGGCAATGGGAAGTGTTGATTCCAATTCTAAAGGTTCACGACAAAGTCTGTCAGACACTTTTAGCTACGGTAAAACCAAATGTCTTTAGCCTGTAGCACAAACTTGTTTTTATTATCTAGTTGGCAAGTGTGATCTTCGGAGATTTTCGCGATAATGAAACAATGTCAAGGACGCCAAATTGAACGATACAGCTGCCAACTAGGTTAAAAAAGAACTATTTTAACAATATCTCTCTGGGTGAAAGTTGATCGTATCAAATCTACTTTATTAGCCTACCTCTAGTTGATTTTCAATGTCTTTTAAAGTCATAAAGTGAAAGTCTAATGCTTCTTTCATATTGAAATTATGTTGTGCCGTTTGCAGTGCTAAAATATTCACGGGCTTTTTAGTATGTTTGGGGGCGGCAGGGTAGGGGGGTCGTTAAAATGTGGCCCGTTTATTGAAAGAAGAAATAAAAGAAGAAAGGGAGGGGGGGTTGTGGTGGCCATATCAAACAATATAAAGCGCGGGAAAACCTGGGAATGGGAACACATTTTATCTTCTTATGTTATAGATTACAGACGTAACTTCAAAAAAGAAAGAATACAATTAAGCCCTATGTGTCAATTTAGCCATGCATATAAATCAGAGACTTAAACTCTGCTAATTCGTTGGCTGACCAAGGCAACGCATTCCATTCTTTAATAGCACTAGGGAAGAAGGAGCTGTTGTAGGAATTTGTGCTAACATGAATAAAACATGTCCCTCTTTTTTGAGATTTTCTGGGTATTTTATTAGGTTTTGAGTATTGTCATGGGCCTTTAAAAAAAAAACATAGGTAATCAACAGTTCCCTTATTATGTACACCGGATAGACCAAAAAGCTATCTATTTATAGTTTTCCCACCATGTATGAAAATTTCCGTAGGCTACTAGTCATTGTTTAGAATCGAAAATCGATCGTGAAAATCTCCAATAATAAATGCACTTGATTAGTCTGGAAAAAAAACCTAGCACATTTGTTTCAAATGATTATTTTAAAATAAAGTAAGATAGGTAAACATTTTTCTAGCGGCGCCTGAAACAAAATATATTTAGTTGAGGCAAGGTGGAACAAGGCGTCGTGTGTTGGCCTGGCGCAATGTGGCTGTCACAGATTTCGTCTTGGTCATATCACGTTTTGGTCAAGCCACGACATAGATCGGGGCGCTTTAGGTGTCTAGATCTAGCTCTTACGCCTTTCCATTTAAGGCCTTCAATCTGTAGGAAAATTGTAAATTTTGGGACTCTATGCCCAAGCTTTTTTTTGAGAAACAGACCCATCTACAAGATTAAACTGTGAAACTCATCACGCTCTCAGCGCCTGAACTTTCTCACTCTCTCTCTCTCTCTCTGTCTTTTGGGCTTATTGTGTCAGTACCCAGTACTTCTTCCATATATGTTTGTCCTAAAACATGTTTTAGTCAGAATAGTGGTTTATAAACTGTTACTGAAAACGTCATCGATCAATAACTTATTATTGTGATTTGTTTGGCATCCCAATCTATCTCAGCTCCCATAACCTATTTATTTCAATCACTTATAAAATATCATAAGATCTAGATTCTGCTAGATCTACACGTAGGCCATAGACAGTGCCGTAACAACCATGGTGGGAAGGGATTTATTGCACCAAGGCTCTTGACCATTAGGTACCACAGGGGCTATTAAAAATAAAAAAGAATGTTTGACTATTCGAATTTAAATGTGTCGAATTTGAATCATGCATTACTTGTTAAAAGTCTTTGCTGAATTAAATATAATGACACTAATACTTACCAAAGCTAGTAACTAATTGGAATGGCTTTTGTC